AGCAATGCACTCTGCTCATGTGTAGCGGTGCCCTTATTTGTAGAATTACTTCACGCCCGTTGAGGTTTAGCCTTTGCATTAAATCATATTCCATGACTGATTTTTATTATATCCAGGCACTGCCTTCATCCCCAGACAATTCAAATACTAAGGAATACTTTGTGGGGGGAGACAGGGCACAATTAAGGGTGTGTATAACCTTGGACTAAGTGGCCTTGCAGGAAAATTCCCGCAAAATGATAAATTCTGTTGAAACAAAGTGGCTCTTTAGTGTAACAATTGACATCTTTTTCTGGTTGTGAAATGTCAGGGCTCTTTGGGTAGTCATGGCATGATGTCTTCATCTCCATCTCAGTGATGGCTGGTGTCCATTGGGACTGATGGGACGGAAAGCAGGGAGCCCAACAACAGGTAGCGTCAGAGACAATGACAGGCAGAGCCTGACTCATACTAGGTTTGTCCCCATCCTCATCCCTGCTGAGTTCCACAAGGGCAACACTGAGACTAAGGAGGAGGAGGAAGCTGACAGCAAGAGCCACCCCATAACTGGCTGTAAGTAAAAAGGCAGGCAGGCAGGGGTTGGCTGAGGGCAAATTGAGGTTGGTGGGGCAGTGCCCCACTAGCCCTAAAGGACCACCCTCCATCGGTAGATCTGATCTATATCTATGCATCTGCTTTAAATTCTCCCCCACAATTAAACAGAATCTGCACAGGCTTTGTGAAGGATTAACAATCTTCTGAGGGTTTCTGAATCAATTATTCCCATCAGAAGTTTACACTGTGTTTAACACACACACACACACACACACACACACACACACAGAGCGAGGGAGAGAAGCATTAGTGCAGATTGGACAAAAGAGAAAATGCTTGCACTTCTCTGTATGATGTTATATGTCAGCAGATGAAACCTCATGGCAAAATGAAATATTCATCAGAATTAAACTCTCCAATTTATAAATATTTTGAAATGGCAACTCCACTGGGCATTTTAGATGCATAAATGTATTTGGGGGAAACACTCAAATTGGCTTGTTCTGCACATTCACACACACACTTCAGCTGTAGATAAAAAAAGTACTAATGCTGAATCTACAAAAGGATGCTGGAGATACAGCTTTGACCCATGGGTGGAAAGGGAGGGTCTCCACATGCAGAAGAATATGCAAGACCTTGTTCCCTGGAATTCAATGACAGATCTTGATAACCAAGATCCAGCATAGCATTGTTCAACAACCAGCCTCCCTGCCTTCCTTACCAGCTGTGTGTTAGGTGCTATGTGTACAAATGTATGCACATAAGCAGCTGTATAGCCTTCATGAGAGCAAGATCAAGAGTGAGTGCAAAAGAGACCCTTCACTGTCTTGAAGAAGTTGCACAATGAAATGACAGGTCTTCTTAATGGAGGTAGAAATGTAACCCAGAGAGTGGCTGTTTTTGCATTCACATCTATGAAAGCTAGAGTTTGGGGCATTACATTGCCTGCAGACAGATAGCAAATTGGGATGATGTGGTTTTACATTTATTTATTTCCTCTTTAAATTGAGATAACTGACTGCATAATAGTGTGGAGTTTGGTAGTTTCTTTTGCAGAACCATATACTTCATAAGGGGTATGTATCTTGTCTTCAGGTGCTCAGCAGCCTTTTGATTCCAATGTATGGAAGCAGCACATAAATGTATGAGGATGGGGGGGGGGGCACAACCTAGATCAGAATCTACTGAAAAAGATATGCAGTAGATCAGCAAGGATTTCTAATAGCCAATAGTGTACAATTAATCAATTTTTTTTAAAAAAAATCAAAATATTATGCTTATCTCTCAACTTCAGTATTAAAGGTAAAGGGACCCCTGACCATTAGGTCCAGTCGTGGCCAACTCTGGGGTTGCGGCGCTCATCTCGCTTTATTGGCCGAGGGAGCCAGCATACAGCGTCCGGGTCATGTGACCAGCATGACTAAGCCGCTTTTGGCGAACCAGAGCAGCACACGGAAACGCCGTTTACCTTCCCGCTGGAGTGGTACCTATTTATCTACTTGCACTTTGACGTGCTTTCGAACTGCTAGGTTGGCAGGAGCAGGGATCGAGCAACGGGAGCTCACCCCGTCGCGGGGATTCGAACCGCCGACCTTCTGATCAGCAAGCCCTAGGCTCTGTAGTTTAACCCACAGTGCCACCCGCGTCCCTCACCTGTAAATATCAATATCAATTGATTGACCAAGTTTGCTCAGCATGGGTGGTCTGTTTTCAAGTTTTGTATTAGATGTGATTTGTGTTTATGTTTGTGGATATATGCAGGTTAATCAGTGAATGACTTATGGGCTGCTACCAGTATCTGGCTCCATACGCTGAGGCATCGTTTTGCTTCTGATTGTGACCGATGGACATCAAGCAGTCCTGAAATTCACCTACCTCTGTTCTAGAACCTCTTCAGCCTTGGGCTGCAGCTTTACTCCCAGTCTGAATTAGGGATCTACTTGCAGAGCACAATCTTATGGGTTGTATCACATGCTAATACTGCTCAGAGTTGACCCATTGAAGTAAAAATACACGACTAACAGGTGCACTCATTCCAATGGGTCTACACTGGTACCTTGAGTTACAAATGCCTCAGGTTACAAACACTTCATGTTACAAACTCCGCTAACCCGGAAGAGTTACCTCGAGTTGAGAATTTTGCCCCAGGATGAGAACAGAAATCGTGTCCCGGCGGCGCAGTGGCAGCAAGAGGCCCCATTGGTGAAAGCAATGGTTAAGAATGGACCTCCGGAACGAATCAAGTTCATAACTAGAGGTACCACTGTATTCTGAGTAGAACTTAGTGGGCATGTTTGCTGAGAAGCAATTCCCAGTGTCTTTGCTGTGGGTAAACATGCATAGGATTGTAACCTAACTTTGGGCAGGGTCCATAAAAACAGACAATTGCTCCATCTAGCTCAGTATTGCCTACTCTGGCTGGCAGAAGCTTTCCAAGAGTCCACACAAGCATATTTCCCAGCCCTAGCTGGGGACAACAGAGACTAAACATGGGGCCTTCTACATGCATGGTTGAAAAGCAGTTGCTGTATAACTGAGTATGGTTCTTCCCAGTGGTAGATCTCATTATTTGCCTGCAGAATGTTTGAGGGTCATTATTATCTCCATTTAAAGTGTCATGTATTGAGTGATGGAGAAAAACTCAGGCTGAAGCCCTAGAGCTTGGGTAGGCAAACTAAGGCCTGGGGGCCGGATCCGGCCTGCGGACGGTCTGGGAATCAGTGTATTTTTACATGAGTAGACTGTGTCCTTTTATTTAAAACGCATCTCTGGATTATTTGTGAGGCATAGGAATTTGTTCATATTTTTTCCCCAAAATATAGTCCGGCCCCCGACAAGGTCTGAGGGACAGTGGACCAGCCCCCTGCTGGAAAAGTTTGCTTACCCCTGCCCTAGAGAACTGCTGCAAATAGGATGGAGAATTTTGAGAGGCCAGTTGCACACAGCTTCACCTTAGAATGATTTCCCTTTATGTAGAAAGTTTAAAACCACTGAAGTAGAACGAGCAGTTAACTTTTAAACCATTGATGTCAAAATCGAGATCAGGAGCTGTCCAGGGCTGTAATTCTAAGCACATTTCCCTGGAAAGGAAATTCCAGGGCATACTCACAGAAACAAGTTCTTAAGCTTATCTGGATGCCAGCCAACATTAGCAGACAAAGGACTGTTATGAAATCCCCCTTAGCCTTCAGGGACTCTTCTCACAGAAGGTAAAACAAGGAAACTCATCACTGATTCATAGTCCTTAGGAATTGTGTTCAAAGCTTGCATTATGTTGTCTATATTTCATTGTTGACTTTGTTCCATTCCTTCTGAATTACAGATTCCGAGCTGGCTCACTCATGTGTGCCCAGTGGGAACTCATGCGATAATTGGACTGAGTGTGCCCTTGCAGGCCTAACACCAGAGGTCACCATGACATGGTTGTATGAAACTCAATACTTTCTGGAATCAAAGGGTCAGAAGTGGAAGTTGGAAAACAGCACAGGAACTGTTACCTTATCCTGTGTCACATTGTACTAGGTGACCAATGCAGAATAAAGTCATTTACTTGATCTCCTATCAACTTGCAGCTGCAACAAAGGCAATCCAAATGAGGATCTTGAACCAAATGCCAGTGGTTTGTAAAGCTGACTCATTAGTTTGAACATGCAAGGTTTAATGTAATTTTGATTGCATTTTAAATAGAGTGCATATTTATCCTGGTTTATGTCTGTGCTATAAGGCATTTTACTATATTTGCAATAGCCTATGGCTACAAGCAATAATGTTTATTAGATTTTAATGCAGCCCAGCATATACCTTCTATCAGATGCATGTTCCTAGTTTGCTGCAAAGACTGAATAATTTATAAAACTGTGGAGCTATATGAGAAATCCAGGCAAAGCCAGGCACATTTCCAATATGACCTTTATTGAGCACAAATTGCTGTGACTGCTTACATCAAACAACAAAAGGTTGCATACTGTGCATGTCAAGGTAGGTTCTCCCATGAACAAAAGTCCATCTTAATTGCACCAGTGAGGTAAACATAATGATTAAATAGCTTAAGGCTAGGAGAGTTCTGGGTATGATTAATATTATTATTACTCATTCATTCATTCGTTTGTTATTGTTTGTTTGTATTTGGCTCAGTTGATTCTTTGCATAATACATCTTAAGACGTTCCTCAGAAGCGTCCCATCAGCAGCTTAGGAAATTCAGCAACTTCCTCTGTAAGAATAACAGCTCATGCATTTTTAAAAAATTCTCTAATTTCTGCAGAGGGAGCACATTGGGCTTGCATGCATTCCCCCTGACATCCCTGGGTATTGCACAAAAATAAAATCAGAAATGAAAGAGTGGATTTGGAGACTCCACGAGAGAACCCGTTCTGCTTTGAAGCCGTCACTTACATGCATTTTGCAGCTGTCATATGGCTTAACCTTTTGCACTGACCCAAGAAGGGGGAGAAAATGATTATTTTAGTCACTCTCCTTAACTTCTTTCAATACGGCATGTGAAGAAGTGACCTTCTCTACCTTCTTAGTGGACACCAACTTCTCTGCAACCGTCCCCTCATGCTCTTCTGTCTTCTTGGTGACAGTCACAGACTTTGTGATGTATGTGGTCGTCCCATCATCCCCTTCACTAGTGAATTTCTCAACTTTTTTGGTTACCATGACTTTCTCTTCACTCTTCCCTTTCTTCTCCTCTTCCTCAGAGGGGCTTATGTCTAGGCCATTGGTCACCACCCCTTTGTCTTCCTCCTCTACTTGTTTTGCCTTGGAGTCTTCTTTTTCTTCACTCTTCTCTTCGACCTCTCCATTCACTGCTATGTCTTCTTTGGTGGACTCTTTTGATGCTTTCTCACTTGTTTCTGTCTTCTCTTCTTTGGAATCCTTCTCTGTACCAACTTTTGCTGCCTTAGTGACTGAGATGGTCTCTTCCACTTCCTTCACAGGGGACCCTGCTTTTTCTGGAGATGAAGCTTTTTCTGGAGTCCCAGCTTTTTCTGGAGTCCCTGCTTTTTCTGGAGAGGCTGCTTTCTCTGGAGAGGCTGCTTTCTCCGGAGTCCCTGCTTTCTCTGGAGAGGCTGCTTTCTCCGGAGTCCCTGCTTTTTCTGGAGAGGCTGCTTTCTCCGGAGTCCCTGCTTTTTCTGGAGTTGCTGGTTTTTCAGGAGACCCTTTCTCCGGAGTCCCTGCTTTCTCTGGAGTTGCTGGTTTTTCAGGAGACCCTTTCTCAGGTGTCCCAGCTTTCTCTGGAGATGCTTTCTCTGGTGTCCCTGCTTTCTCAGGAGAACCTGCCTTTGCTGGGGAGGTGGACTTCTCCTCTTCTTCGCCTTCCTGCTCCTCCTCCTTTTGCTCTTCACTTTCAGCTTCTTTATCATCCTCTGCTTCTTCTGCTGCAGGAGATTTAGGCGGAGATGCTTTGGTCTTCTCTACTTTCTCTGGTGCAATGGTTTCTTCCACCTCTTCACCTTCTTCCTCTGCTTCTTTTTCTTCCTTGCTTTCAGCTCCAGCTTCTCCCTCCCCTGCTTCTTCCTCCTCCTCTGCTTCTTCCTCACCCTCTTCCTTTTCACTCTTTTCTTCTTCTTTTTCAGAGCCTCCTTCTTCTGCCTCATCAGACTTTGCACCTTCATCTTCCTCACCGCCCTCCTCCTCACCCTCCTCTTCTCCTTCTCCTTCTTCTTCAGCTTCTGGAGCTGCTGCTTCAACTCTGGCCTCTTCCTTGGCTATAATTTCTTCCTCTACAGCTTCCTCCTCCTCTTCCTGTTCTTCTGGTGCTGTTCCAGCAGCCAGTTCTTCAGCCATAGCTGCAAGGGCCTCATCCAGTTCAGACTTCTCATCCTCAACTTTTGTCTCTTCAATAATTTCTTCTACAAATTTGTGCTGGACCTTTAGCTTTGGAGGTTCAACTTTGGATTTTTGTATTTTGGAAGATGATATTGTTACTGAAGGTTGCCTATGTGTAAATGTTGGACCAGTGATGCTTCCAGAGAAGGCACTGAATCTTGTTTCTTCACCCTCAAGAAGTTTCCTAGGGAAAGAAGAGGGAGGAATTAACATCCATCTCTAACATTTCAAGATGAATTTTTGAATGAACAAGCACCTCTGTAAGTAGCTATGATAGATTTTAAAAACTATTTTGAGTAACTGCAAATTGCTTCTAGCTTGTTAAACTATCAAATAGCATCCCACACCCTGCAAACCTGTCAGCCCATCTTCTCCTTCTGAACTAAATTGCTGACATAAATGGAAAAGGTACCAACACAAAACCCAGATAAGGGATGGGGAACCTGTGGTTATCAAATGGTATTGAACTACAGCTCCCATCATCCTTGGCCATTGGCTATGCTTACTGGAGCTTATGGGAGTTGTGGTTCAGAAACATCTGGAGAGTCAAAGGTTCCCCAACCCTGACCTAGAGGAATGGGGAGAAAATACATTGTATTTGGGGGAAGCTGCAGACTTTCATTTAGGAGAAAATGCCCCTTTCATACTGGGCCTTCTTTAGGGGCCTATCAATGCATTTGTAACATCATCAACTGCCACACCAATACACTCTCTCCTCTCAGACCAATTGCCTGCCTAGCAACTAAGGGACAAGACTAGCAAATTTGGAAGGAAAGCATCAAGAATCAATGTGAACAATGACCAGCTAAGCTTCTTCATACACATTCCATCATTAGATGGACATTTTTCTAGCTATGCATAACTTGTAGAGCATTGTCCACAAATAGTGCTCTCTTACTAAAATTCTATGATTGCCTACTGAAGGATAAATATTTGTGTTGCTTTTTAAAGGGCCATTGCATATAAGACTATAAATTCTCTATATTTACTTCAAAGGGTTGTTCACATACATGGGACATGATAATGCCAAATTTAAGCTCCACTAATTTCAATGAGAGAAATTTAACCATGGGCTTAACTTTCATATTTCATTGATTTCAGTGAGTGAGTGCTTAAAGTTTAGCTTATATAAATATATTTCAGTATATAACCTAAGGACGAATTAATACTGCCTTTAGATAGCTGCTTTCTGTCCTGTGGACAACTAGCGCGCGTGCACACACACACACACACACACACACACACACACATGTTCCTGGACAGTGAAACAAAGGAAAAATAATAACAGAAAAAATTTAAGTGAGTATTTAAATCTCAGGACTAATATTTACTTTGGTCGAACGTATTGTTTTTTCCCTTAGCATTATTTAAATCCAGGAATGCACATAGCAATAAAATATTTGTAAGAGATATGGGCAAGCATAGAAGAACTATACTCCATCAATCTAAAATGTGTTGTTTCAATATTTAGCATTTTTGCATTATTAAATCTTAAGTGTCCTCTGGGGAAGGAACATAGCTCAGTGGTAGAACATCCACCTTGTATGCAGAAGGTCCCAGGTTCAGTCTCCAGGTAGGGCTGGGAGAGGACCCTGCCTGAAACCCTGGAGAGCCTCTGCCAGTCAGTGTAGACAGTACTGAGTTAGATGGTCTGACAGCTTTCTATGTCCCTATGAACACAGCAGACAATGCTGCTTCCAAAACTATGCAGTGTTCTGGATGAGGAGTACTATTGTGGCTGTGATGCAGCTAGTCAGTGCAGACAATTCTAGGCTAATGGACCATTGCTTTGAACATAAGGCAGTTTCCTATGTTCCGAATTTTGTTTCTTGGTAAATGTATGAAACAATATATGCGGGCCAAGTCATTTCATGATTTCAGGAAGTAGAATTTGGATGAGAAAGGCAGGAAGTTGTCATTGATTGCTTATTATACTTTTACTGTGGATCAGGGTTGGATGACATTTGCATAGTCTACCAACTGAATTAGTAGTCATTTCTAGTCTGCTCATCTCCCACTGAAAAAGATTTGTACTTTAGCATTTCCTTTTGGAGTATTTCATAAGCTTAAATTATCTCTCTCTTTGCCATGTTACAAAAGCAATGCAAATATGATGGTGTATTAAGAAATTAGAAATTAAATGGAAAATTATAATCGATAGGGAAAGCTTTGCATTTTCAGCTTAATTTCACATTCTTGCTTGTATTATTGACTGTAAATTTTAAGGGGGGAAATGCTGATGAAGAAAAGGATAAAAGACCCCTCACCTCCATGGCAGCACCCCAGTTATGGAATATTCTCCCCGAAAAGGTGTGTCCAGCATCCATGCCATAGTCTTATCGGCACCAGGTGAAGACCAGGGTTTTTTTGTTTGTTTTGGCATTAAGTGGTTTGTTTATTTATCACCACCATTACTAACCATAATAATCACCATCAATTCCCCTATCAATTTGTCCACTGATCTTTGGTATGTTACCCTGCTAACGTCTTTTCTGCTGAAACTCTACAGCACAAAGCAGAACGTTATTGCCCAGGTTTCAAATTGTGCTAAGAATCTGGCAAAGTGCCTTGCTTATTTGTCAACAATGCCTTGTGGGATTCAAAGATTAGCTCTGTGGGGTTTTGTTGTTGTTGCTGCTGCTACTGGAACTTAAAAACATCTGCAGTGCAATTCCTAAATCAGCCACGTCGGCATTCTGTTCACTATACCTGTATGCGGCAATTTCAATATCAAGAGCCATCTTGACATTGAGGAGATCCTGGTATTCCCTCAAATGACGAGCCATCTCCCATTTTGTGCCTCTCAATTCATTTTCCAGTTGTTGAATTGTATCCTGCAACCAAGACACAGGCAGTTATTTAGGATAGTTACAAGCAAAATGTAAATAGGAGTGCAGTGGTGAATAAAGCACTTTATTTATTTATTAAACTATATATCTACTGTTATTCAGAAAGAAATATTAGAGCAGTTCACAATAAGAATACATAAAGCCATACAGTGTGTGTGTGTGTGTGTGTGTGTGTGAGAGAGAGAGAGAGAGAGAGAGAGAGAGAGAGAGATCAACTGTTACAGAAGAGTATTTTCTTAATTACCAGCATATACCTGACAACATACAAAAGTTTTCAATATTTATGAGGAGGACATGGATGGAAGAGTGATTGAACTATGGGAGATGGGATAAGTGAAGCTTGAATTGGGCTCCTCAACTCCTGAAGAAGTGGCCTAGGTTGTGAGGGTCTCCCATTTCCTCAACTTGACCAGCCAATACTAGATGAGATCCAATTACCTAAAGATCTCTTTTCTTACAGCAATAAAAAGCTCATAGGTTGTGAGCCCCCAGAAAACTAAGTCCCAGAGACCACTAGACTGGGAAGGATGGTAGTAAATTGCTATTCTTGTGTGAAATACCGAGAGGATCCTTATGGGATTACTGAACTTTATGGGATTACTGAAAAGTTGATGAAAATTCTCCCCCTCAATCTCCATATCAACCATTCTTATAGACTAAAGTAATCAAAACTAGAAATATCTATGCTGTGAGAAATTCTGTTTTGGATTAACTTCTAAGAGAGAAATCTAGAGCAAAGTCATGAAGGACACCAGTAGCCTATTCCTGCTCCTAGTACTCTGTATTTACAATCTGAAAACCAGAAGCACATTCTACACAACATCAATATTTCAGTTTGCTATTGTTATCATTTATTTAAGATTGCCTCTTAAAATTACTAGGTAAAAACTGGAACCTGGTTAAGACAATATACTTAAATGTAAGTCAGTTTTGGAAATTGGACTTCATCAATTTGTATTTCTCTATTTTGCTTAACCAAGCTGTGAATCACACTGACCTATGAGAAGAAAAAATTAATTTCCCAACTTTCTGTACTTCCCACAAAAAACATGCAATCCTTGTGCTTCAAAATGCACCTTCTGAATTATGGAAATTAGCTCCAAAGTCAGTGGTAGGAACACTGCAGCCTAGCAGCCTACTCTAGCGTTCTTTAGTATCCACACCTTTGTTAAACAGAACAATATAATTATTTAAAAGTTTAGGTAAAATTGTGTATTTGTTAAGGCTGTGTAGAAATGGCAACTTGAAATTCTTCACTTTATTTGTGGGATGAGAAATGGTGAGGGGTAGGCAGTTCTCTCAATTTCTCTAGAGGAAGAGGAAAAGATTGCAACAATTTATTAGGGTTGGGGCTCACCATTAGGACAGTTTATTTATTAATTTTCAGGGCAATAAATAAATTAAATGATGGTGTTCAAGTGCAGAAAATTATGTAAAGTGATCTTTTTCTAGTGGAGAAATGAGAAAAAGTAAACTCTCAAAAGTTTTCTCAATAAAAAAATCTTTTGAGAAATTTGGGCTCAGCTCCAATATTTGAGGCCAGCAGCAAAATATAGTAATTTACTTGAGTCTAACTATGCAATTGATTTAAAAGCTCAGAGTCTAAATCCATTGAGTTAACTAGATCTGCAGCAATCTGATGCCAAAACGCTTACGTGGGTTGATTGCTCTAGATACTACTCTACTTAAAAAGCAATATCTATAGGAAAATTGTTGGGAAATGTTGCCAGTATTTGTCTCTTAAGACTAAAATTGCACATCACTAGCTCACTTCTAAGCCTATTGACTTTAGCAAGCAGTAAGGTTGCTTATGTGAGAGACTGTTCTATTCCCCTTGTGGTGGAAGTTCCTGCAGCCCTCCTACAAAGTCACTTCTAGGGGTCTGAAGCAGTTTTCCAGGGTGTGCCCTCAGGGGCTGCAGCTGGAGAGGGGAGAACCTCATGCAACCCCCTCCCTTGTATGGGTGGAGAAGGGTGCCTTTGACTCAAGCATGGGTGGCAATGGCTGTTTTCATCCACACAATTACATTAGAATGAAATCCCATCGAGTTCAGTGCAGTTTTGTTGCACCGAAAGCATTATTTTTTATGGATGAGGGATGTGCAGCCTAAGGTCGTATTTTCTACAACATTTTTCATAGCAGTAAGTATTTGGTGGATAAATGGTTAAATATCTGGAAACAAAAACCACTCTGTTGTCTTGGGATAATACCCTCGAGCGGTCTCATCAAATTCAATGTTGGTTTCAAGTTTGCACTGCAAGATACATTTTTGCTATGTTATTTACATATCTGAATCCTATACTGGACAAAAAGCACATTGCAATCAAATGGATAAGTCACAAGAGCTTTTGCTATCTGTGGGGCATTAGAAATAGGCTGAGATAGAAGGCAGTACAAGCTCGCTTTCATGTCTGGACTTTGATCACATTATGCAATTCTGCATTGCCTCATTTTGCACCATAAAAATAAGGTTTACTTGGTCTGTTTATTGATTTGCTTTTTCCCTAACCAATATTTATTTTAGAGGGATTCAAGTATTTTTCAGATGCTCTGTCCAATATCATTCTGCAGTGCGCAAGTTCCTTTATCAGTGGAAATCTTTGAGGGCTGCCTCTTGCACTGGAAGGGTGGTTTTATGACTTCCCTGGTGCCATCAAGTTCTGCATTGCAGAAGTTTGGGGTGCACTTGGCAGAGAGATCCATCTCAGATTGCTTTTTGTTGCTTGCTCATCTTATTTTTATCCATAGTCACCTCCATGGCAGTTAATTCAATGCAAGCACTGGTCCTCACTGCAATCATGTTAGCCAAAGCCACTTTAAGCTTTGTGATTTGCCCAGGTGGGGGTAATGGAATTGTGTTCACATATAGTCTATAGAGTATAGAATTCAAGCTCAGAATCCATCTTCCTATCCCAAAGCAGGCACTCTGGGATTTGCCTTTTGCACTGATCAGCTCTATCAGAAAATCTGCTCAGCACTTTTAGCTTCTGCATTGCTGAAGTTCAGCAGACACTGATGCAGAATGGTGGCTGCAGTGGTGCTTGCATTTTGCAGCAAATATAACCTTTAATTATCGGCATACAAAACACAGCACCCCACTGCTGTGTGAGCCTTCTCTAAATTTTATGATGAATCATTCTGCAAAAGTCCATCTGGATTCCCACAGATTCCCCATGCTATGAGAAAAGGTTCCTTGTCAAATAATGATTATTAAGAAAAATAAATACCAATAAAATATTATTTCAAATACATTGAGTTTTTGTTGCAGAAATTATGTGAGCCTAGTTTGATTTTACACAATGCTGTTGATCAGAATTCCTATTCTTTATTGAATTTCTTCATACACACTTTATTGTGAGTTGCATTTTATTTAAATTTTCAGAAATGCTAATACTGTAATAATAACAGCCAGCAGTTCTTGATAGCAATTTTCCCCAGGACGTTGTTGCTGCTTTTAGTCAGTTACTATGCTCTGGAACATTAAATTATATCCAGTACCACTGGATCAGAAAGAACTATGGTAAAGGTCATGCTTTGCAGCTCAGGTTGTCATCAAAGGATCAATTTTTAAACTGCATTGCCACAACACATTCATTTTTTATTGGTACTACTAACAACTTTGGGAAGCAGCATATGCAAATTTTTTTCACTTCTTCATGTGGTAGTTCTGCAGTGCATCAGTTATGGGATGTTCTGCATCAGGGATGCTTATGGTTGGTGAATGGAGTTCCAGAGCTATCACAAGAACTTCCAAAGTGACACTTCTTTCAGGCTAAGTTTAGCATCCTTCATTCCAAAGTCAGTCTTGCCGTAGGGCACAATACTTTCCTACACTCCTAGAAAACGCTTTATTTTATTTTTTACCAGAGAGCTGTTTGGAAGTGGATGATTCCATCCTGCATGGAAGCAAGTAGGACCCCTCCTTTCTCATTTGGGGAGCTGCATTTTGTATGGGACTAGGCAGGCAGAATCTTTCCCATCTCTGCTCTGCCATTTAGAGGAGTGGAGCTTAGAGCAAGTTGTGGGATGGCTCCCCCCCACCCATCCCTTCCTCTTCTCGGAGTAGCACTTTGCTGGCAAGAAAAAAAACACTTATTATCCACTTTAAAAAAACAAAACCAAAATAAATATTTCCATTATGTATTTTGTAGCATCATTTCCCCATTCCAACTAACACACATTCGCCAATGCAATCAAGGTATCCCTTAGGACTGAAGTACATAGGAAGCTGCCTTATGCTGAGTCAGACCACTGGATTCATCTTGCTTAGCACTGTCTCACTGACTAGGGGTGACACTCCAGGGTTTGAAACAAGGGGGCATTCCCACCCTGGAGATTGAACATGAGGCAAAGGTGAAGCTTTGTCCCTGAGCTATGGCCCTCTCCCTTTGGTAAAAGACAAGAAGCTGAAGAACATTTCCTGGCCCTTCCATTCATTTTGCATAGAGTCAGTTGGGATCCCCCCATGGGGGTATTTTGCCCCCCTAACATGAAGCTTGCCCCCTAACATAAATCCTGGCTACGTCCATGGATCACCTACTCTCTGAAATCTGCTTCATTTTGAGGGTGTGGTGTGGCTCAAATGTTAAAAGACTCCCCTTTTCACTTTCAATGGCACGTATTGGGGCACAGAAGGGTCAAATCACATTTCACATTTCTGAAAGAGCAAAGAGTATTTTTTTCACATTAAGGTGCCGATCATGAATGCCTTTCCCCGAAGTTATCGATTCCAATGGAGTTAAGTTTTGAGCAAGTCTTATTTTGAAGCTCAGTTTTTGATTCAGTTGGAATTTCCTTGGAAAGTGCCCTTCCTTCAAGTAACTGCAGGGATCCTGCAGCTGGGAAGGGCGGGGTAGAACTACTTACGGGCGGGGGGCTTGCCCCGCCCCTTGAGGCGCACCGTCTCCTGACCGCCCCCATTGCATTTTGCATGGAAACAAATGTAGGCAGCCGCAGATGGCAGGTGGAGAGCATCACTGCCCCCTCCCCAAGCCACGCCCACCACCAGACCCCCCTCCCCGCGCCTACCTGGTAGGTGGAGAGATCGTGGTTATGGCGCTCCTCGATGTCGGTGAGTTGGCGCTCCAGGGACTCCTTGGTGCCGCGGACGGATTCGAGCTCGATGCTCTTAGCCTGGAGCTGCCGTCGGTACTCGGAGATCTCCTCCTTGGCCGAGCGGATGGCTTCCTTGTTCTGCTCGGCGGCCTCGGTGAGCTTGGCGTAGCGGCACTTGAACCACTCCTCGGCCTGGACCATGTTCTGGTCGGAGTGGCACTCGAGCTGGGAGCGGATCTCCTTCAGGGCGGACGACAGGTCTGTCTTCAGGTAGTCCTTGCGCTCGACGGTGACGTGCGAGGCCTGGATCTGGGCTAGGAGGTCGGCCACCTCCTCCTCGTGGTTGCCGCGGAGGAAAGCCACTTCGTCCTGCAAGGACTGCACCTTCTTGTCCAGCTCGACCTTGACCATGGACGACTCCTCGATGTCCTTGCGCAGAGCGCGGATGATGGCCTCGGTGTCGTCCCGGAGGCGCGCCTCGTCCTCGAAGCGCTCCTTGAGGCGCTGGATGTCCTCCTCCAGGTGCTCCGAGTCGAGCTGCAGCGCCGCCTTCTCGTGGTTGACTTGCTCGAGAGCGCAGCGCAGCTCCCGCAGCTCCTGCTCGAAGGCGTCGCCCAGCTGAGAGCGGCCCGCCTGCTTCTGCCGCAGCGCCGCGATCTCGTTCTCCAGCTCCTTGTTCTGCTGCTCCAGCGAGTGCACTTTCTCGATGTAGCCGGCGAAGCGGTCGTTGAGGCCCTGCAGCTGCTCCTTCTCGTTGGAGCGGCTCAGCTTCAGCTCGCCGCTGCCTCCGCCGCCGCCGCCGCCGTTGAAGAGCGACGACTGGCTCAGCTCCAGGCTCTCGGAAGAGCTCAGCACCGTCGAGCCGTAGGAAGCCCGCGCCGCGCCCAGGTTGCGCTTGTAGGACGAAGAGACGGTGCTGGGGGAGCTCCGCGACCACGACTGGGACCTGAAGCCGCTGGAAGGCGACATGCTGGCCCGGCTGAAGGTGGTCCGGCTGTCGGCCACCCGCCGGTAAGACGGGTTGCTTAGAGGCTCCAGCGTGTAGCTCATCTTGGAAGACTTGGTGAGAGGCGCTCGGCGCTGAGTTCAGGGCAGCGGGGACTCTGCAGAAGGCAGCGCCTTATATACCGGAGACGCACGTTGTCTCTGAAGGGGACATGCCGGCCGGTATGAGGTAGCGAGGAGAGGCGGGGCCAAGGGACGGAAGCCCCGCCCTTTGAGAGTAAACCACACCCTTTCCTTCAGATTCTCCCCTGGAAAGAGGCACCCGAATGCCAGACTGTCCTTTCATAAACTCCTTCCTTCCTTGGCTACTTCCCCCCTCCACACCCCACTGCGCGCCTTCTGAACGGAACTTGAACGTTCACTTACGGCTCTGGTGCACTTTTTTCTGCGAGGTGAGTCTCACAATGTTCAGTGGGGCTTAAGTGTGCATATAGGAGTGCAATGGTGCACATTCTCTCTCCCCCCCCATGGTAACCCGCTCCTCACCCACATTTCTACCTCCTTATTCTTGTTTCATCCAATCCTCTCCTCCCCCCGTCTCCTCCCAAGTCCCCCCCCCATTTCCTGCTCCGGCTCCAGACGTCGCTGCAGCGGCCCCCTGTGGAGCAGTAACCCAAGGAGCCGCCGCCTGGCCCACATCGGGCAGGGTGGTGACAGTGGCAGGGGGCGGCGTGAGTGGCTACTGGATCCCTTTCTAGGAGATCCGGGCAAGCATCGTACGCTGGGTTGGTGGGGGTGGGGCGATCTGCAGCGGTGGGTTTTCAGGTAAGGCGCGGGCGCGTGTGTCTTGTCTGTGTCAGTCATGGCGGCTTCAGCACCAAGGCCAGCGCCGCAGGGAAAAACGGGCCGTGGACGGCCTAAGGAGGAAGAGTTTCGCTGCTGAATAAACCTCCCCAGTACAGGCGTGCGCGTGTGTGTTTGGTGCCTGAATTTTTGCTTCTAAACTGACATAGCAAAGCTCGGCCGTCCTGCCGCTTTTTTGCAAAGATCTAAATGTGGAGCTGATTCCCCAACTGCAATGCAGAGCGGCAGGAAGAGCTCCTTCCTAACACTTTCGATTTCCCAACAAAGAATTTCTCTTTCCTGAAAAACAAACAAGACTTTTCTATTAAAATACGACAGATCCTCATTAAAAAGAATCGCGGTAATCAAAGGATCAGTAGTTAAAGTACCTATCAAGGGCTTGACATTGAAAGGTCAGACAACCCGGGGCGGTGGCTGATTGGGGCGGGAAGAGAGATATAAAAGGAAGAGATGTCTAAAGTAGTTAAGAGCTGGGAAGGCTACCTTACAGTCCAGCCTTTAACCATTGTATGAGTGATATTGCATTCACCAAGTCTATCCTTTTAAAAATCGGCATTAAGTCACATTCTTAATAGCTGCCCCATCTGTCTATCTATCCTTCTATTCATTACACACCCGCAGTGAGCTATTATTTTATATATTAAAAATACACATGTTGTTTGCTGCAATAGACTTACATGGCAACTCCCATGTTTCATTTCTGAAACCTATGAGGCTCTTCACATCTGAAGAAAGTGAGTTTCCATGGAACTAAGTGGGATTTACTGTACTGAAGACATTCATAAAATTGGACTGCACAGCTTGCAGTTTCATTGCAGCAGCAGGTGCTCATCCCACACTCCACTTATTTCACAACGGCCCCACTGAATCTAGTGGAACAACTCTAGAGTAAGTTGTTCATGAACTGGATCATTCCACACTCAGTGGAATTGGTGTGGCATGGTGTTTTTAAAACAAAACAAAAAATTTGTTTTTTAAAAAATAATAATGAATTGAATAAGTGAGTGAGAATTCATTTCTAAACTGAGGGAAGACTTCTCTGTGTGTATCCCATGGCGAATGATGAAACACAGGCATGCCTGAAGGACTTTTTCTCAGAAGTAAGTCCCACTTCATGAAATGGAACTCCTTCCATGTAGGTGTGGAGCCTCATTCAGACTTGTTTTACAGCTCTTGCCTTTGCAGGGTTCAGAACATGCATGCAGATTTCTAAGGAGGCACCTGCGAAATGATTCTAAGCTTGGCTAGTTATTAGTCCTCTGTGTGTGTTTGTGAGAGATAGATAGATAGAGAGGTTATTCTTGCATTCTTGTTTGTGTAAGAGAGGTTATTCATGGTGCCACTATTACCCAAAGTTGGAAGATCAACTTTGAAAGCCATCCGGAAGGAAGTCCACGCTGCTGCTGGCTCATTAATATGGTGTTGTCATAGAACTGCAGCACTGCAGTCAGCGGAGAAAGGAGACTGAAGCAGGCTTCTCTGGGACGTTTGCAGAGTTGCATTTGCACAGACAGCTTGTTAGACTGACTCTTTTAAATATTCCTCTGACCATGTGTGACCCAAAGGTGCCATTTTTATCACAGCTTGCATCCTGTGTATATTAAGACTGCAAACATGCTTGGGAACAAGCCCCACTGAAATAATGGTACTGACTCCTGAGTAGAGATGGGTAGGACTGTGCTGCTTGAATCACTGTAATACTGAGATATTTCCCAAGATTCTCAAAATGCTGAAGGGTGAAGCAATCTGCTTAGTTAGCACTGGGAAGAGAAGGGGTAGTAGATGAAGGCAGAAATCGATGTCTGAATGGTGCAGCAAAGCTTTTTAAAGTGCTAGTCCTAGTGGGGGATGGGGAAGGAAGACAGCATGTGGGCAGGATATTATTCTTTGGGTTGTACAAGAAGAAATTCAATTTACAGCAAAACCAATATTTACTTTTTGCAAGGCACACAACACTAGGCATTGTGAACATTTGCAATCCTATTTCCATTGAACGCAGGAGGACATCTGGGTGGGGGTGGGGGTGGGGGGAGAAACTGGACAGCTGCAACCATCTGCACACTTATTTACGGGGAAGCTTTCCTGAAGTCAGTAGCCTTCTTTCTAAATAAGCATGCTTGGGAGCATGGTGGTGGGAGGGGCTATAAGAATGTCAAACCATTTAAGGGAATGAAGGGACATAATGTGGCTTCTGCGTGGAATTTACTTGGAAGTAAGTGACAAGGATTTCAGTGTAACTTCTGATGATGTGTTCTTGATCATGGTAGGCTAAACTGGCATGAATCCAAATAGTTCAGATTATCTAGACTGTGAATGGGGCTCTTAAGTTTCTGCAAAGGCAAAATAAAAATAGAGCAAAGGGAGGAAATATGTGCCAAGCTGGCTTAAGGTTATGTTTTGTCTGTCTGTCTATCTATCTATCTATCTATCTATCTATCATCTATCTATCTATCATCTATCTATCTATCATCTATCTATCTATCATCTATCTATCTCTATCATCTCCAGTGCTATTTTTCCTAGAAAAAGAGGTGCTGGAACTCACCATGAACGCCTCCCTTGTTCTCTAATAATGGCAATGGCACCCACCTGAGAGATGGTGGAACTGAGTTCCGGTGAGTTCCATCTTTTAAAAAGCCCCATATATATCCAATATATCAAACAATTGACTGATAGGTTACAATTTGAAAATATAAGAAAAATCTTATACTTTGTAAAGAAGTTGGTTGTATCCCAGACTTGTCTTACACTGAGGTTAATGGACATAAGTTACTTAGGTTCATGGTTTTCAATGGTTCTTCTCTGAGTAGGACTTAGTTGGCTACAATCCAATGCTATGATGCAAGATGACACTGCAAAAAAGTACCTAAGCTGTAGCTTGATTTCACAACCAACTATTCCTTCCTTCCTTCCTTCCTTCCTTCCTTCCTTCCTTCCTTCCTTCCTTCCTTCCTTTTGATGTATGGATTACTTGTAAGTCCATCTAACACAATGAATGCTTACTCAGCTTGGCATATTTACTGAGTTTTTAAAATTCTGAAAACTCTACTTGTCTAATGATTTCAGTGCAGTTATTTTCAGAACCCATACAATTCTTCTGATAATGTCATTATTTGAAAGGATCTGTGGCTGCTATTTCCAACCAACATTCTTCAGAGTGGTGTCATTAAAGGCAATAAGGTTGCTTCAGATTAAGTGAATTATAGCATACTGGAGAAATGAGTGTATATTTATGCAAAAAATTCTATATCTATTTCAGATATTTTTAAATGCAAGATTTTCATTTCCAAAGATTTATTGCTCTTATAACATGAACTCCAGACCATAAATGTGTGGCTGGACAATATTACTTTCCAAATATTTTTATGAAGGTGATATGAAGGTTAAATAAATTGGTGGGCTGTTTGCAAAAACTTTTAAAGAAGCCAGTTCAGCTGCAATATCAGTGGCTGCAATTCTGCATTCAGTTTGACTGCATATACCCAATTAACTGCATGTGGGATTGCAGCAAGTATATCTTGCAGTTCTGGCACAACTTCTACTTAAGGCAAAATACACATATTTGGAAGATGACTCTGTTATTTTATTGGAACTGCTTTCCATGTCTTATAGCCTTCATAGGTTTTTAACCCTAAAGCTTATTTTTAAGAAGAGCCCCCTCCCCCAAAAAAACACAATTCCAAGCAGAATAATCCCTTACATTCCAAAACTCCCACAATTCCTGACCAAGCTGGATGGGGCTGATGGGAGTTGGAGTCCAGCAGCAGAGTATAGGAGTTCAGGGCTACAGATCTCCCACCCCATTCCCACCTCTCTAAAATAAAGGTTTGCTTTGAAAAAGGTCAGCTATGCAGAGAAAATGGGTTGCATAGTTTTCATTCTGCTTCACTAACAAAACTTCTTAATGAGGAGGCAGTAGAAAACCAATGCCATTTTTATTGGCACTTTATTGTTTAAGCTGAGCAAGAGGAAGGAAGAGAACATAATGCAGAGAAGTAACCTATGCTTTGCATTCAGAAGTTCCCAAGTAAATCCCAAGCATCTGCAGTCAAAAGAACGCAGCAGCAGGTGATGTGAAAGATCTCTTCTGGAGAACTTGGAGAGTCGCTACCAGTCAGAGCAGACAGTACTGACCAAATGGACAAATAGTCTGACCCTAGGGCTGGGCTGGTATCAGTGGTGGACTTGGTTGGGTCTCTTCTGAGGTCCCACACACCAGCGGGGCAGGAGTGGGAGACACCGAGAAGAGCCACTTGTGACCTGCTTGCTTCAACCACAAGCGCTTGT